TTTCCACCAGTGAGGAGCCTCTGTTTTAGAATTGTCCTTTTGTGCAGAAGATGCCTAGTTTAATGGGTATGTCTTATTTATAAATATATTCATTAAGTAAGCTCATGTACCAGGGAACCTTCTAGGTGCTGGGCATACGAAGATGAATGACGTGTCCCTGCCTCCATAGAGCTCATGTAGAAGAGAGGACATGGAGTTACAGGGGAACAGAGGTGCATGTGGACAGTGTCCCTAACCCAGGGGTGGTAGAGGGGACACTACTGCCGCAGGACGACGCACCATGATCAGGCTTGACAGTGAGGGCGTGGGCACCTGGGTGGAGAGGGGATCCCTGGGCCCTGCTGGTGGCTTCCCTCTTCTCATGTCTGGCTGTGGCCCTGGGCCCTGAGGCCCTGGCTCTCAGTGAAAATAGATCCAGGACTTGGTGAGGCGTTGGATGTGGGAGTCTAGAGACAGCAAAGCTAAGAATGAGGTCTTCAGTTTTGATCTGATCTACTGGGAAAACGGTGATGCCATTTCCTGAGATGGAGCAGGTTGTCCGAGTTACGTATCAGGCCTGTTAGATTTGAGGTGCGCCTTAGGGCGTCCAGGAGAGGGCATCAAGTCAGCGGTTGGGAGGAAGAGTCTGGGGCTCGGGGGACGGAGGGCTTTGAGCCTGAAAAATGTGTTAGAAATGATTTTTAAAGCCATAGGGTGGATAGGAAATGAGTGTCTGCAGTGACGAGGACCAGGATGGAGCCCTGGGCTGTGCCGGCACCTACAGATCAGTGAGGAGGAAGATCCAGCCCAGGGCTGGGAAAGCCTGCTAGTGAGAATAGGAGGAGACCAGGAGACAGGTGGAGAGAGAAGGTAGGGCTCCACCTCGGCTGTGCTGGTGAGACGTGGTGGGAGGGCGCCGTGGGGACAGCTGCAGCCGAGCATGGGGGCTGGCGGGGGTGGTCTTGAGAGAGTGGGGCGTAAGTCAGCCAGAACAGAGTTCATCTGTGGAGGGAAGAGGGAAGGATGCGAGTGCAAGAGACGTGTGTGGAGGCAGAGGGAGGCGTGTTTGGTTCTTGGTGGGACTGACCTGGGGGCTGTTTGGGCACAGGGGTGAATAATCCATAACAGCAGAAGATGGTGTGTCAGAGTGTGGACGTTGGCAGGTGGGGGCTTGCGTGCTGAGGAAGAGGCCCGGGGTGGGCGGGGGGTGACCAGACAGGTGCTCAGGGCATTCAGCTTGACGTGGACATCTTCGTTCATCGGCGGGGGCTGAGTATGTGGCTGTTTATGCCTGCCTTGCATCCTTTTGTTCAGATTTTTGTTTACAAATCATAAATTCCCCCCCAAGTCATCCTATTAAACCTATAAATGACTGTAATTTTCCAATTATTGAACTCTTGTTGAGTTTTTACATAATGATGAAATTAATTCATTGTTCTCAGTGCCCTGCGGAAAGCTGGCTAGAGCCCTTGGGGCGGTTTGGATTGGAAGTCAAGAGGACACGTGCGAGGGCCCCCCTGAAGGTCTTTGGGTGACTCAGTGCAGGAGGCCATTCCCAGTCCCTCCTCCCTCAGAGCTCTTGGTGCAGCGCTTTGCTGCCATCTAGCGTCATACCTGTTTCTTTTAGAGTCTTTTCGGGAGGTTTTGGGGAGGATCTGAGAAATTTTTAAGACTTGGATAAAGGAAAGTATATTTTAATTCAGAATACATTGCTGTTCTTCATGATTTTTTTCTTTAAATAAGGGACCAAAGTAGTAATCCCTGTCTACTCATTAAGTACCACTGAAACATAAACCAGATATCTCAATACAGTTTTGTCTGTTTTGGATAGAATGAATTAATTTTTAGTATTTATTTAATATAAACATTTTTTTACTGTAATTAAAGCTTATATGCTGATTTTTTTTTTTCTTTTAATGGTGGTACCAGTGGCACCTGGGTGGCTCAGCTGGTTAAGCGTCGGACTCTTGATTTCAGTTCAGGTCATGATCTCAGGGTCGTGAGATTGAGCCCGTCAGGCTCTGCGCTCAGTGTGGAGTCCGCTTGAGATTCTCTCTCTCTCTCTCTCCATCTCCTTCTGCCCCTCCCACTCATTCTCTTTCTCAAATAAATAAAACCTTAAAAAAGATTTAACAGTGGTACCAGGAGAGCTCTGAGGATCTTTCTAGAACATAGAACTAACCCTGGGTCCTGCACAAACTGTAAGTCCCGCCCAGGAGAAACAGTGATCAGGCTCCTCCTCACTCATTGATGTTAGCTCCTCACCCAGGTTAGAGGTGTGTTTGTCTGGGTTGTGCTAACTGCTAACTCTATCTCCGTCATGGGGGCTGGGGAGAGCCTTTTGGTTTTGCCAAGCTAGAAACATTAGCATGAACATTCTTAAGCAAAATCCCCTTCTGCTTGTTATATTTCTGGTGAAATTTGGAAAGTGAATTATTGTGGAGACAAGACCTCTTAACATAGTGAGTGGTAATGAGTATACAGTTGCCCGTTGAACAACATGGGTTTGAACTGCGCAGGTCCACCTAGACGCCGTTTTTTTCCGATAAGCGCAGGGTAGTGCTGTAAGTGTATTTTCTCTTCCTTATGATTTCTTTTTTTAACATTTTCTTTTTTCTGTCTTACCTTATTTTAAGAATATAGTATATAATATATGTAACATACAAAATATGTGTTAAGTGACTCTTTATGTTACTCGGTAAGGCTTCTGGGCACCAACAGGCTGTTAGTTGTTACGTTTTTGGAGAGTCTAAAGTTACATGTCGATTTTCGGCTGCTAAGGGGTCGGTGCCCCTAACCCCTGCATTGTCCAAGGGTAAACTGTGCTTTAGATGACCTTGAAAAATAACTACACCCACTCTGCTGTTCTGCCTTCATGGCCAAAGTCACTTGTGAAGTGTTCAGTGTTTGCCAGCAGCTTGTTTGTTTTGCGAATTGGCCAGATACAGCGCAGCATAATGCTGCTTTTGTGTGAACGTAATTTTTTCCTTAGATGGATATTGCAGGAGAGGGGTTAGACAAATGGCTTTAAGTTGCCATTTCATTGGTAATGTAAATAAACTTAAACTATTTATTTTCATATTTAGTTTCTGCATGGGCTACCTTTTGAAAATCCCATTAGCCTGTAGGCCTGGAGCTTTTTGCTGGTGTTTGTCTAGGTTAATGTAATTATTGTGAGAATCATCTTTATTCCCACCACTCCCACCGCTGGGTAGAGGCTAGCCTGGGGGAGGGCGGGGCAGGAAGGGGCATGTGTTGTTTTTTTTGTTGTTGTTAAGATTTTATTTATTTATTTGACACAGAGAGAGAGACACAGCGAGAGAAGGAACACAAGCAGGGGGAGTGGGAGAGGGAGAAGCAGGCTTCCTGCGGAGCAGGGAGGGGCGTGTGTTTTTAAAAGGCAAGAAAGGGTCTGTTTCTCTGGAGCAGCTTGCAATTCCAGCATCATGTCTGGGAGGAAATAAGAGGTCGGAGACATGGGTCCTGAGGGCACAAAACCCCCACCGTAACCCCCCTGTCCTGCCAAAGTTCTGTTACGTTTGGGAGAATCTTGACAAATCCATGGGGTTGACATTAAGTTATTTTACATTCATTCTTATAAAATAAATTGATTCGATCTGCCTCCCTAAGTAGGATCTTCCTGACAGGTTGGTAAAACTGAGAAGTAGGAATGCAGCCCCACTGTTTATTGGCTGTGGCCTTGTGCACGGTTCTTCACCTCCTCCCTGGGCCTCATTTCTACATCCAGGAGGTGTTTCAGGTTGCAAGAATTATTTGAGGCAACGAGTGTAGAAGCTCCTAGCACAGAGCTTAGCACACTGCTCGGAAGTTCCAGTGGCAGTGATTATGAATCTCAGTATCATCATTCATATACAAATCCTTGAAACTGGGAATGAAAGATTCCTGGAGTGGACCTAGAATTTACATTGTAATGTGCTTAGCATTGAAAGTAGGCAGGTGTTTGTAACACAATATTTGTGCTTTAAGGTTTTTACTCTGGGAAGAATTTGATAAATTGGTTGTCTTTCCTAACAGTGGTAAGAAATGCATTCTCTTCCTTAGTTGGAGTCTTTCCTTGACTCAGGTATAACGCACATTGAAAGCTAGTGGCTTTCTAAATTGTATTAACCGTTTATATAAAGCTTTAGTTTGGAATTGAGTCAGATCAATAAATATTTACTCATGTGATAAGGACAATGTGGAAGATTTTATTTCCTTAAACATATATTTCCCCAAAACATAAGGTCCTGAATTAAAGTCCCGGCAGAAAGTAGGGGGAGCACAGGGAAGTCCAGCAGAAGTGCTTGCAGGGCTCTGTGTTTCAGCATTTGCGTTTCGGGTGTCCAGGTGTGAATTTGTTCATTTTCCTGTCCACGCTGCCCTCCTTTGATCAGGCTTCGTAACTTTATGAGTTTTTCTGGAGGGCTGGAATGTTCTTCAGAGTGGCTGGGCAGCACAGGGCCCTAGGGCGGCTGGCAGAGATTTGGCCGGCATTCAGCGTGCTTTGTCCCCCTCCTCTGCCACCCAGTTTTCTTTGGTTCTCTCCCTCTCTGTTGCTCACAGGTGCTTTGGTGGTAGCCTTCATGGTGTAATGTTCTCTGACCGTGTGTCTCCTAGAATCCTTAAAGGCAGTGCACACGGCACCATATCATGTCAGTTACCGGGAAACTTCTCTACCTCTGCACTTAGTTTATATTGTGCATCATTGAAAAATTATCTTATTTTTACTGTTTTGTTTTACATGTGTTCATATAAACTAATACTTAGTTTGTTTAAAGGTAAACTAATATTAATAGTTAGAATGATCCTAAAAGATAATAGTGTTTTCTGTACTTTAAAGTTTTTGGGTGGAATTACTCTTTGTACGTTGGAACTTGTTCGAATTAGATTCTTTATCAGGGTCAGATCTAAGTGATTTCTAATAAACAACCTTGATAGTTAACATTAGCTAAGGCGACTGTTGGGTTGCCAGTGCTTTCACCTCATCCCCTTTGGGAGCTGACGTGAACTCCTTTTTGCAGGGTGACCTAAAAGCTTACCTGCGCAACGAGCAAGAGCACATGAGGGGGGACTCGCAGACCATGCTGCTGCAGCGGATGGCCTGCGAGATTGCAGCGGGCCTGGCTGCCATGCACAAGCTGCACTTCCTGCACAGGTGGGTCCGTCCGGCTGCGCCGCGCTCCCCGCCCAGGCTGCGCCCGAGAAGGCGGCGGCGCCGTTGGTGTCGAGGTTCTGCAGAGGACTTCAGAGGGCATAGAAGTTGAAGCTGTCCTGTACGTCCCAGGGTCGGGATGAGGGTGGAGTTGGGCTGCAGTTAAACCGATACCAGGGAACAGAATGTCTTCATATGGCCTGAGGTCTAGAAGCCATCTCCAGAATTTCAGAGAACGTGAAAAATTGGCTCAGCGCTGAGAGCAGATGGTGCCAGTCTCCCTGCTGACATCTCTCTGTGCGTCCCATTCGTGTCAGCTTCAGGCTGTGGTTCTAACTGCGAGGTTCCTGGGTGAGGAAGAGAGGACCGTATAGGCTGGCGGCATCTTTCCATGGAGGGCCGAGCAGCAGTGCCCGCTTCCCACCTGCCGTGGCTCCGAGAGGCCAGCTTCCCCTGCCCCGCCCGCCCCTGGGGCCTGTTGCAGGTGGTCAGGGGTTGTGTGTGGGCAGCACGGCGGTCAGTGTAACACATTTGTGCAGAAACCTTTCTGGTCCCGTTTGAATAGCCGCAGCTCTTCGAGCACATTGTATTTTGCTCCTCAGACCATTGATGTAATTTCGTCATTAAAACAACAAAGGACTTGGAGTCCTGTCTGACTGAGGTAATGGTTCTTTGAACCCAAAAGGAGGTTTCTGCTTAACTCTCCTCCAGCCTTCTGAGCTTTGATTTATGTTTAAAATATGTTTGAAATTATTTCTCAGGTCTCCAGGGAAGCCAGCTTCTCTTTACTTGACTTTAATTAAATAATTTAACTCTTAACGATCCGAAGAGGTGGAAAGGAGCACCTGTGTGTTGACTTTAAGGGCTATGAAATGAATTTTTTTTTTTTTTTTTTTTTAGTATTCTGTTTTTTAAAAGGTAGGTCGCACAGGAATATATTTATAGTGTGACTCCATTTTTTTTTAAATAAGACACCTGCTTGTATTTGTAGAGGTGTGAGGGCGTGTGCACGTGCACCTGTGTGTGTGTGTATGTGTGTGCGTGTGCACACATGCGTACACGCGTGTATGTGAGAACAGACGTGGAAAAGTACCCTATCAAATTCTCAACATTGTTTCAGGGTAGGGAAGAAAGAAAATTATTAACATTTTCCCCATACGTCTCTATCTTATTTGACATGCATAGTGAGCAAGTCATTCTCATAAAGGGCTTTATGAAATACCCCAAAGATTATGGGTTTCTTCAAGCACGAGGCAGAATCCCTTACAAGAAACTTCAAAATGTAAATATCTTTTTGCTTTATAACAGAGAAATCTTGGATTTCATTTTTTAGTCTCTTCTAACAGGTTAATACCCAGCATATTTGTATTGTTACTTTTTTGTAAGACACAGCAGATTATTCCCTAAAAGGTGGTTTAGGAGATTTTAGATCTTGGAGGCTGGGGCATTTAGAGAGAGTGTCATGTCAGACTCAACAGCGTGAGGGCCTCAGAGGCAGATAGAAATTGCATTTAAAGCTCAGGTATGTTCCTGCTACTGTATTTTAAAAATTGGCAAAGACATCAGAGTAAATGTTCTTTTCCTCTGAGTTTCTATGGGTTAAAGTTCTACTTAATTTAGAATTGTGTGAGCTTTAGAACAAATAAAGATGATAAAGTAAATCACATGGTTTGGATGTTATCCAGGTACAAAAACTCAAGGTAAAGAATATTCTTTAAACTGTTGGCATCTGTCCCCCTCCCTCCCTCCCTCCCTCCTGCTGTCTCTTTTATTTATTTGTCAGAGAGAGAGAGAGAGAGAGAGAGAGCACAAGAGGGGGAGGGGCAGAAGGAGAGGGAGAAGCAGCCTCCCCATGGAGCAGGGAGCCCAGTGCGGGACTTGATCCCAGGACCCCGGGATCATGACCTGAGCTGAAGGCAGACGCTTAACCGACTGAGTCAACCAGGCATCCCTCTCTCTCTCTCTCAAGTAGCGATATATATATATTTTTTAAAGATTTTATTTATTTATTTGACAGAGGGAGAGAGACAGCGAGAGAGGGAACACAAGCAGGGGGAGTGGGAGAGGGAGAAGCAGGCTCCCTGCCGAGCAAGGAGCCCGATGTGGGGCTCAATCCCAGGACCCTGGGACCATGACCTGAGCAGAAGGCAGATGCTTAATGACTGAGCCACCCAGGTGCCCCTTAAGTAGCTATATTTTATGTAAAATTCCCACTTGGGGCAAAATTTGTGCTTTAAGTTTTGTTTTTTTTTTGTTTTTTGATGGTAGCAATATAGCATATTTTTAAATCGGAATTCAGAATATTTACTGGCTGACTCAAAGTCGGGCTTTCTGTGTTGGTTGAAAATAGAATAGCTCACACGTCCAACTAAAAGCTGTTGGCTAATTTGGAAACTGATCTAGTAAAGCACCCCCAATTAAATTTTATTTTTGTTTATTGTTTAAGAGGAGACATATGCCTGGGTCTTAGGTAGCCTGCATCTCTGAAGTTTACATGTGACATCCGTGAAGGCCGTGTAAACAGCAGAAGCTGCCAGTATGCTACGTTCCACACCATTCTGCCTTTCTGGCCGAGAGCCTGGGACTTCCTGTCCTTTCCCTGTCAGCCTTCCTTAGCGGCTCCAGTGAGATACCACAGGTCACTGCGATGAGCTAAGTGCACATAGGTTCCAGTGGGCAGCGTGGGCCTCGTGGTGGCTCAGGTAGCTGAAGACCTGCGTGGCCATGGCCTTGAAGAGTACCCGGGTGACCACTGTTCACGAGAGAGCCTTTTTAGGATTTTCCTGGTTTTAAAGTTAAGGTAACTTTCTCCTGAGAAACCCTGAGATTCTCCAGCTCTGAGAGTGTGGCTATCCAGTGTTGCAGGAGCATGATACATAAACACTAGGGTTAGGTGCCATTTTACATGATTTTTTTCTTAATCTGTGCTGTGTGTTGTGTCCACAGTGGTAGAGATTAGGAAGTCTGGTTACTAATAGGCTTGTTGTGCTGCACCTCTAGCGTGTTTCTTTCTGCTGGTGCATTATTAAAGGATTTCATTAATTTGTGTGCATGTAAAATCTTCAGATTATATCTTTTAAAGTCCTAATGTTTTCTATTTTAAAGATTCATCTTCAAGGAAAAAAATTTTATATGGCAATAAATATGATTGCTTTAATTCTTTTGATTATTTTATTTTTGAAGATCTAATTGGCTTTATTAAATGATTCATGAGTTGGGCAGCACCCCATCTCCAAGTCCAGGGGAGTTCTCCCTGACTGATCAGTTTATGTCAAAGCCACGGGTAGCATGTGGCACATAGTGGTATTAAATGAAAAGAAGACACTGTACCATCATCTTGCTCTCATGAGGAAAATCCAAGGATTTTCCATACCCAGGCTGCAGAGTCTGGCTTGAGCTGAAAGTCTGCAGGCATTTGACCCGTTTCATTTCATGCGGAATGAAAGAGTGAGGGTCCCAGACGTGGGGCCTCACCTGCTCTAGTCTCGCGTTCTTTACTTGGAAGATCCTGGTCATAGAGCAGAGCTGGGATTCAAAACCAGAGCTGTGGTCTCCAGGGCCCACACTCTTAGCCAGCAAGCTACCCTAAACAATCACTGGTCACCCTTTTTTATTGGTGACACGATACTGTATGTTGAGAAAAAGCAAGGTACTAGTTTCTTTAAAAAACAAAACTAAGTTAGAGAATTTATTGTAGCTTGCTTATAGCTGTACTAAAGTTTCCCTGGAAATGAGGGCAAAAAAACCCCTCATTCCGTTTTCACCAGTGCCACAAAAATTATCTATTATGATTTATTATAAATTACTTGGGAATAAATAATGTGAGAAAGACACAGGACTGTGTGAAGGAAGCTGTGCAGTCTTACCAAAGGACATAAAACATGTGAACAAATGGAAAGATGTGCCCCATTTTATGGTGGGAAGACAATACAAAAATGTCAGTTGACTCAAAATTATTTTTTTTAAGATTTTATTTATTTGAGAGAGAGAGTGAACAAGAGAGAGTTCACAACTGGGGGAGGGGCAGAGGGAGAGAAGCAGACTCCCCACTGAGCAGGGAGCCCAATGCGGGGCTCGATCCCAGGACCCTGGGACCATGACCCGAGCTGAAGGCAGATGCTTAACCGACTGGGCCACCCAGGTGCTCATGTTAACTCAAAATTAATACATAAACTTTAAACAATTCCAGTAAGAATCCTCACAGGATTTGTGAGGGGGAGGGGGTAAAAATTGTGTTTAGCTTCACATGGAAAAATAAGTGTCTAGAAGAGCCAGCAGAGTATGAAAAAGAAGTGAATTGTTGGGGCAGAAAGGGAGGCTTGCTTTACGAGGTATCAGAACTCACAGCAGACTCCTGGGATAGAGATCAGTATGGTTTTGATGGAGAAACAGATTCGTGGAGAGTAGACAGTGCATAGAGAAAGTGAACATATGGCCAAAGTGGAACTCCTGTCAGTGGGGAAGAGATGGCTTCCCTGTTAAATGCGGGCACAGTTAATGACCCATCTGGGAAATTATTGGACCTCTGCACCGTCCTGTATGTGAAAATCAAGGTATAAGAAATAAATGTGATATTGGCAAAATTCTGGAAGACTGTATGTGTTTCCCAGCGATGAGCGAGGCCTCCTAACCACAAAGGCCCTCCTTTCCTGAGGTGGGAAACCCAGGAGTTGTAAAATGATAGGTGGCTATTACATGGAAGGTTGACTGCTCTATAAAAATTAAATGTTTTGCATGGCAGCAGACACCACAACAAAGTCAGTGGACGACAGACTTGGGAAGGGGTAGCTGCCAACACAAGGAGCCGCCGAAGGGCGACCGCTCACGACACCAAACAGATGCTGGTGGATCGGCGAGAGGACGACGAGCCCCGAGACAAATGGGAAGGTGATCCCCTTCAGACGTTAGGGACGTGCAGGTTAAAGGCACGGAACCTCAGAGCTGAAGGAACCGCTGCATCTATTGCTAGTAGGGATGTGGGGCAGTTTCTGTCCTGAATGGCT